GGGGGGCAGCACCCAAATGGAGGAGGGGGGTGGGAGCTCGGCTTTGCACCAAGCCCAAAACCCACCCAGTCGTCAGATCCAGCCCAGGGCAGAGCGGCAAGGCGGCAGTGATTGACAGCTGTCAGTCACCGTGAGCCAGGCAGCATCGCTCTCAGGACTCTCACCCCAAGTACGCAAGACGTTTTTCTCCTTCCCAAGGGAAAATGGAGGGGACAATGGGGACAGAGAGGGGGATGCTGCCTGCACGTCTCAACAGCCCCTGGCGCTGCCCGACAGGGGTGTCCCTCCACTCCAGCAGTGTCCCCAAACTGGCCCGAGCCTCCCTCCACACTGGCAGCGTCCTCAAACTGGTCTGAGCATCCCTCTACCCCAGCAGCGTCCCCAAACTGGTCAGAGCATCCTCCCACTCCTCAGCAATGTCTGCAAACCAGTCTGAGAATCCCTTCACCCCATCAACGTCCCCAAAATTGTCCTGAGCACCCCTCCACCCTGCAGCGTCCCCAGTCAGAGGCTGAACTGAGGGCAGGGACCTGCAGGCACAGACCCCAGCAGGGACAGGGTCCCCTTCGGGGTCCCCTTCGATCCATCCCCAGCCTGATGCCAAACAACCCGTGCCCGTCCGGCACGGGGCTTTGCCAGACAGAAGCCAGGCGGGGGGGGTTCAGGATCCTGGGGAACCCCCCGACTCAGGGGGCTGCTGCCCCTGAACCCCAACTTCTCCCCATCCCCCAGCAATCTAACACAAACACAACTATCTACCGCTCAGCCCGGCTCCCAGCGATAAAAAGAAATAGCTGGAATAATTTTTCCCACCCACACATACCAGGGCGGAGGGGAAGGGGGAGCGATGGGGCAGATGCGGCGCGGTGCCGGCCATCCGGACGAGCCATCCCTCCTCGCCGTGCCCTGCTCGCCCCGATAATAAACCTTGAGGTTTGCAGACAAACTCCGGGCAGCCGGAGATTATTCAGGCAGGAGTCGCGGCACAGATAAACACAACCGAAGGCGAGCGGGAGGCGAAGGGGAAGGGGGAGGCGGCGGCGGCGGGGGGGAAAGGAAAAAAGAAAAAGTTTGCAGTTTTAATTAGATGCACCAAAAAAATAAGAAAGTTGCTCTGTCCCATCCTGATACCCTGCATGCAGGACTGGTGGTGAGGATGGATTTGGGGTTCACGGCCGGTCCTGGGAGAGGTGGACCTGTGCCATGTTCTGTAATTACCTCAGAGCCATCGTTACTGCCCCAGAGCAATTAAATAAACCCCCAACAGACGAGCCACCAGCGAGGGGGCTGGGGGCTCAGCGAGGTGGAAATCTTGGTGGGGACCCAAATAGCAAAGCTGATGCAGGAAAGGGGGTGAGGGACCCCTGGGAATGACCGCTGCTCTTTTGGGCAGGGTGGTGGGACACGGCCGGGGGGACAAGGCAAAAGCCACCCCGGGTTTGGCCCCGTCCGCTCCATCCCTTCCCTGTTGGTGGCCCACGGGTGTCCCCACAGAGACAATGGCAAAAAGCTTCATCCCACCTTGCAGAAAGGCAAGTGCTGGCCGGGCTTCCCAGGGGCTGCAGCCTCCCAGCAGCTCCTGGTGGGGATTCTCCAGTGTCTCGTAATGTGGTTGAGCAGCCTGTCCCTCAGCGGGGCTCTGCTCTCCTCCATTCCTCTGTCCCAACACCACGTTTGTGAAATTTGTTGGAGCTTTTCACCTTATCCCTCTGGGAAAATTGGCTGGACTTGGTGAGGTTGGCTGGGCAGCGATGGGGCGGGAGGGGACAGCCCCGGGAGGGGAGCTGGAGGCAGCGGGTGCTCCCGAAAGTCTCCACTACCGGCCCTGCTCCAAAGCAAACAAAAACAAGTGGGAAAGATGGAAACCTGGGGCACGGCAGAGAGCTGCTGGCGGGTCCGCGGGGAAGGGTCTGGGGGAATTTGGGGTGGTTTGGGAGAATTTGGGGAGGATGCGCATCCCCTCTCCCGACCCACCAGAGGATGAAGTGGCTGGCATGAAGAGGCACAAAGCATGGCCACACTCCATCCTGGGATCTCACTGGGAAGCAGAACCGAGGCGGGGTGACCCAGCACCCCGGCCGAAGGGGTGGCACATCTGTAAAAACTCCCAAGTTGAGGATTACAGCCTCCAGCTCCCAGGGATTTGCATATCAGCGGGCGAGCGGCAGCCCCCTCCGGCGAACAAGGTCATTTCAAAGATAAAACAAAGTACTCTTTCTCCCTCGCCAGTGCACGGGGCCAAGGAGCCCCATGGCGAGGTCCCGGCACACTGCGTCCCTGCGCTGCCGAGCCTCCGGCACAGCGGTGCACCCAGCGGGCAGCAGTTTTGGAGACCCAGAGGGCAAATCCATAGCGGGCGGTGACCCCATAGCCCCCCAAAAAGGGCCAGAGGAAGGCAAGACCCCGCAGGGCACGAACAAAGGCGCCCGGAGCAGCCCGCTTGCCCCTCCCCGCCGTGCCGCATCTTCGCGGCTGCCATTGCTGACATACGGCGGATCCTGCCAGATAAAAAAGAAAATTCAGGCTGCTCAGAGTTTCCCTTTTCGCCAGCTCCATCCCTGATAAGTGCAGAGCCTGCAGAGCGCCTGATAGACGGGCTATCGCGGCGGTTGGTGCGAAAGGAACACCCTATCGCTGCAGCATCGCCGGACCGCCATCAACTCCCAGCCACACAGAAATTAATACCACTCCAATTACCAGAATAGAGATGGGCTGGGAGAAGGCGATAATAAAATCTCTTTTACATAAAGAATGCAAATAACCCGCTCCGGCGAGGAAAGGGGGGAAGGGGAGGCATGGCCAGAGCCGAGGCTTCGTGGTTGGTTTTGGGGAGCCCGTGGTTGACGGCGCTGCCGGGATATGGGGCTGCGCGGTGCCATGATCCCTGGGGTCATGGGGACACCCGTGGGTTTGGCACTGCAGCCCCCTCCCGCCCTGCACTGGGATGCCAGTATAGGAGCGGGGAGCCCGGCGGTGCCGGGGGCAAAGGGCCGGGGAGCAGATAAGGAGGAGCCGGGGGTGGCCTCGCAGCTCCTTCCTGCCCGGCACGCAGGAAGGGCTGGGATATCAGCGGGACCGGCGAGCGCTTCCCCTCGGATGGGGCGGGAAGGGGGAGCGGGGCCATGGCTCCCCGCCGGGCCGTGGGGATTTTGGCAGCTGCAGGAGCACATGCGCTGGCAGCCAGCATTTCCCAGGGCTCCTCCATCGCCCAGCCCACGCAGGTGGCCTTGGGGACACACCGGGACCCCCCTATTGCATCCAGCACCGAAGGGCGATCACTGTCCGGCATTGGAGTCACCCCTTCCCATCACACGCTGTTCCACAGGGCTGCTCCGAAACCAGATCCCCTGGCATCGTTGGGCTGGGAGCTCCCCTGGGAGGAGCAGGGCATGAGCAGGGGCCGGCGGCACGAACAGAGCCTGAAATGTGGCACATCCACCCTTGGGGGTCTCAGCTCCCCCTGCTCCTGTCCCTGTCCACCCGCTGGGTGCCATCCCCAGCGGACAGGCACCCACAAACCCAATCTGCAGAGAGAAGCCCCAACCATAACCCCATCAGCGGGTCGGTTTGGAGATAGCGGGGCGATAGGGTGCAGGGTACCCACACGGCGCGCCCGGCCTCGCTGGGCTTCCAGGGCACCGGCGGCCCCGGCGCGGAGATGCCGAGAGGGAGATAGACGGCTCTATTTGCTCCTTGGGGTTTTGATAACCATCATGAAACCGCTCGAGTGTCGCTCTTGTGGTTGCCAGGATGTTTGCAAAGTGCCCTCATGAGCACGGGGCGACGCACGACGGGGTCCAAACCCTCCCAGCACCAGGGAGCGCGATGCCAGCCGTGGGGCGGGCATCCCCACTGCTCCTGGATCAGTTTTTACAGTCCCAACAGCAGCCTGGGGATGTAGGGGACTACAACCATCACCTTGGACCTCCTCTCCCAGCAGAAGTGCTGGTATTTGCAGCCTTCCCAGTCCCCAGTGCTCCCAGTCCTCCTCATACTGGTTTTTGTAAGAGGCGGCAAATGCCTGGGGGCTGCCTTGGCTGCTCCAGCCTGTGGTCCAGCTGGGAAGCTGGGATGGAGCAGGATGACTGGCTGCATACCAGGGACTCACCTGGCCCATTCCAGGCGTCCGGCTCCTGTGGGTTTTCTCCAGGATCCGGGTTCTCCAGCTCCTTCGGACTCTCCGGGGCATCTCTGGACTCTGCAGCAGGAGAGGGAAGGCAGCAGGTCACGCACCAGGAATTTCAGAGGCAGCATCCCACGGGGGTCAGGGCCACCGGACCCGTGACACCCTGGGGCCAGGATGCATGTGGGTTCACCCTTAAGGATGAGCACGGGCATGGTGGGGGTTCCCTTCAAAATCCGTGTCCAAAACCAGCTGGGGGGTTCCCTGTGCCCCACGGGATGACCCATAAGGACAGCCAAGCCCACCCACGCACCCTCCCTGGAGATTCCTCAAGCCACCCCTGGGTGGGCACCCACCTCCCAGCCCCAAAACCCCCTGCATCTCTCCCATCCCACCGCGGGCCCCACGTCACCCGGTTCAGCCCCGCTCCCGTCACGGCTCTATTTGTGGCGTATTCACAGCAACTTGATAACAATTATTTTCTCCATTAACTGCTGCTGGAGATGCAGCTGATAAAGCCTATCTGCATATGACAGTGTGGAAGATTAGCGCCCAAAGTACATGTTTGCCTTGGCGTCCCGGGCGGATAACCAGCACGGAGCCCAATCGATCGGCGCCAGAGCGAACACCCAGGGGTGACGTCACCGGCATTGGAGATTATTAATACAGGTGATAAGCGGAATGATTAACATCAAATAAATCAATCACCGGGTATAAAAGTCCTATTATTTTTGGCTATAAATCAAAGTGCCTGGCATATCGATTTTTATCCATCGCGCTGAAAGCTTTAGTGGCCGTTATTGCTGCTCGGCGTTATCTCTGCTATCACCTTTTTATCGAGGCAGGCTAGTGCCAGGTGCAGCTCCACGCCCGGGCTCCCGGCTCCCTTGCCCCCAGCCCGGCTCCCCCATCAGATAAGAGCCGCTCGCTTCTCCCTGCCACCGAGCAAAGTTTGCCGACAAGCCCTCCCTGCCCTGGCTATCGGGGTGCTGGCGTGGATCACCCCCCTTCCCGGTGCCTCAACGGGTTGGCTCCTGTGGTTTTTGGGGGGGACGCTTTGCTCCCTGGTTGCTGGTGGGTGAAGGCAGCGGGTGCTCGCCGGGGACTGGCCGGCTCCATTAGCCGGCGCAGCCTTGCCCCAGTGTGGTTATCTCGACGGGCACTGCAAACATTAACTGATTAGGATTTGCCCCCACCTCCACAGGAAGGAACTTAAAGGATATCTGGGGACTGTTTCAGCCCAGCCCTGAAACACAGCCACCTCTGGGGTGGGGCACGGCACGGCATGGCGGCAGGCAGGCGGCGGTGCGGGCAGGAAGCAGGCAGCAACGGCCCTGTCCCCCCATCCCCATCCATGACGCTGCCGGTGCCAGCACCTGCGGCCTCGGCGGCTGCTTTGCACCCTGGGGACTCACTTTGCATCCCAAGGGGTCACTTTGCATCCGAAGGGGGGGCATTTTGCACCCTGGGGGGGTCATTTTGCGCCCCCATGTCCCTCCACCGCTGCCGGCGGCTCAGCACCGGGGCGGGTGAAAGGCGCTGAAACGGATACAGGGTGACGGTGCTCATTAGCAGCCATTGCAGTGAGCAACCCGCCTCCGGTTTCCAGCAGCCCAGCTTGCGGCCCCCCCGGCACGCCGCTGCCCCTGGCCGAGCCGAGATTGCTCCTGCTTGCGCCGGCCCTGGGGAGCATCCTCGCTCCCGGCCGGTTACTCGCCATCACGCCGGGGCCAGGCTGTCCCCAGTGGGTCCTGCCGCCGGCCGGAGGGTGCTCGGAGGGATGGAGCACCCCAGGGAGACTGGGGGTCTCGCTTAAACAACAGCCCATCCCCTCGACAGATGCTTCGTTTGCTAATTAACACCATGGACCACCTGCAGAGATGAGGCCCAGGATGCCGGCGTGCCCGGTGGCAGAGCCCGTCCCCACGGCGGGGGGCCACCAGGGGCAGCCCCCTGCCACCGCGGCGAGGCTCACCTTCGCTGCCAGGGGGGCTGGAGGCGTCGTGCTCGGCAGAGCCCTCGTGGTCCGAGGTGGCCCCTTCCCTCTCCGAGGGGCTCTTCTCCCCCGCCGGGCCGTCCTCGCCTTCCTCCATCGCTGCCAGGGAACCTGCCAAAACACAGAGGGGGCAGTCAGGAGGGAAGAACTGGAGGAATAAAAATCCCAGTGGGTTTTTCCAGTTGGGAAAGGAAGCAGCCGATGCCTTGGGGTCTGGCAAAGGGCCCTTCCCTGACCCACCATGGGCATGGGGCCTGGAGGAGATGTCCTGCAGCTCTGCACGCCACGGGAAGGGAAAACCCTGTCCCCGGCCAGCCCTGCGGTCCCGCATCGTGCTGGGGTCCCTTGTCCCCTTGCAGAGGGGGGTTTATCGAGCCACTGCCTTGCTCTGGGGTGTTCCCTGAGGGATGCTTGGTCCCCCCCCAGATATCATTGGGAACAAGCCCCACACTCTCCTGGGAAGTGAGTGGGGTCCCCACGTACCACAGGCACACGGCTGCGGCACGGTGAGGTGCCCAGCCCGCTGCACCGCTCAGCTGCGCTTCCCACCCGAAACCCCCGTGGCACCTACCCCAAATGGGGCGAGGGACCCCAGGGACCGTCCCCCACCGTCCCCAGCACCCCTTGCCTGCTGGGGGACCCACGATACAGCCCCCCATGATGCTCCCAGCCCCGGACAAAGGGGGATACTGTGGGTGCCTGGTGGGGCCATGCTGCCGCTGGAGGAGGCTGTGGTGGGGACACAGGGTGCAAGAAGGATGAATGGAGGGTGCACATGGGGGAAACCCCAGCAGCGCCCCCCCCCGAAACAGCCCTGCCTGCCCATGCTGCTGTTTCCACGGCAACACAGCATCCTCATCCGCGCCCAAAATCAGGAAAGAAAGAAACCGCGGCGCACGCGGCTCGTGCTGCACGAAGCCGCGCCGGGGGCTGCCCGGTGCCCCAGCCAGCAGCACCCCGCCGAGCCCGGCACACGGGCAGGGGGAACACGGCGCGGCGACAAACCGTCTGCAGACCTCAGCTGCTCTCCGTGACTCCAGGCATGTATATTTACAGCGGGAGAACAAAGAGCCCATAATCTATACAAAGCAGACAACAATGAGCGTGAATAAAGAGGCTGCCGGAGAAGGGAAGGCAATTTATTCTAATTCTGCTAATTTCAGTTCCAGCACAATTAAAAAGGCTCTGATAATATTCAGAAACAATCGCCAGCTAACAAATCGTTTCTCTCGCTGTAAATGAAACATTGTTAGGCTAATTTCTTCTTTCACGCCTTCACGGCTCTTGGGCTTCTGATAAAGTTAACCCGACTCTCGCCTGCTCCGCGGCTTGGCACCTCCAGCCTGGCTGGGGAGGGATGGACGGAGCCGGGGAGGGATGGACGGAGCCGGAACCACACGTGGCACCTACCCAGGGGTGCCCAGACCATCCGCATCCTACCCTGAAACACGGAGCCCCAGGCAGGAGATGGGGATGCCCCGTATAAATGCAATTGTATAAAACCTGGGGGTTGGGTACCGCAGCGTCACCGCGTGCCTACAGGGATGATGGGTGGCCGGCAGCATCCCCGCACCGTGTCACCGCGGTCCCTGGATGCATCCCCGTGCCCAGCCTGCCCCACTGCAGCATCCCGCTCCCAGCGCGCCTGCCCATCCCCAGGGGATGCTCTGGCCCTGGTGCTCCTGGCTGCATGGGTTAAATGAACTACTGGATAGCGTAAAAGAAATTTAAAAAAAAGGAAAAAAAGAAAAAAAAAAAGCAAGCGAGGGAGAGGGAGCGTGGAGCAGGGAGCAGAGCGTCATTTCTCCGGGATTGCTGGAAGCCCTGCACAGTTATCACCGCACACAGCCTCCCTCGGCTTGCCTGATCTGTCTATTCTTCATTAAGCAAATACGCTGAAATGGAAATGAAAACATAATAGCTATTTGATTTTCAGCGAGATATTTTGCATATTGGTTCAGTGCTGATAGTGGAATTTCATCAACTCCCTTTTTTCATGCTTTAAAACTGAATTACTGAGGCTGGCTTTACAGAGAGGGGAAGAGCCAAAAAATGCTCCCTTCCAAGATACTCCGCTTTGACGATTAACTCTTGTCCCTCCCTCCTTCTCCCTCCTTTTTTTTTTTTTTTGCATTCCTGGGGCTTTTCCAGCAGTAGGAAAACCCATCGTTACCCAGGTAATGATTTGATCATTTCACTCAAATTAAGGTTCTCCTGGTGCAGGAATAATAAACCTTTTCTTGATTCTTTGCGCTTATCCGATATACTTAATAAAAGGAAAAATAATATAGAAAATAAAACAGGAGGGGGGACTTCTCCAGGCTGCCAAGAGCGAGACCCTGGATGCTCCGAAAGCTGGCACGCAGACAAGAGCAAAGCGATAAGAGGCCTCGATAACAGATAGAAAATAGCAACAGCCCCAGACTTTCCCACCGGCTCTGGAGTGGGGAGGAGGAGGAGGAGGACGAGGAGGAGGAGGAGGAAGAGGAGGAGGAGTCCCCGATGCGGAAAGCGGGTCCTGGACCGAAAACACACGCAGGCTGGGGCAACCTGCCTTCGCCCTTCACCGTCTGGTGTTCGCCAGCTCGCATCTAACTCCAAAACCTGATTATTTTTAAAAATAAAAAGGCTGGGCAGGTGGTGAGCCCAAGGGAGGGCTCTGGGAGCCGGGGACCAAGGGCGAGAGCCCGGATCCAGGCAGCCTCACGCCCCAGACCTCGCCTACAGGCAGCGCAAAGCTCGTGGAGCAGCGGGTCCCCAGGGTGCTCAGCGCCAGGGGGACCCGGGGGACGTCCTCAGCTCCACCGGGCTCGGTGGGACCACGATGGAGGCTCTCTTCTTCATCCTGCCAGTCTCTCCTTATCCCCGCGCTGGCCCTGAATCCATCTTCCAATTAAAAATAAACTAAAATAATACTAATACTACTAATAATAAAAAACCAATAACCCCAAAGCAGCCAGGTGAGGCTCCCCACCAGGTCTTGGGGTGCAGGAAGCACTGCCATGATGCTCAGCCATCAGCTTGCGATTGAAATGCTGGGAATCCAGCTCAGGCATCACCGCTGCCCCTAAACCTCCTTATTTTCCCCCAAATTTTGCAGCCATGAGCAAAGGGCTGCAGGAGCGAGCACAGGGGCTGGTTGTCCCTGGGGAAAGCCGCTGCCGGAGAGGGTCGCAGCCGCTCCTGATCCTTCCTTGCACCGGCTGCAAAACCATCTCTGGTGATTCGGTGGGGTCCGGCACAGCCCAGCGATTCCCAGGGGTCTCGTAGAAGGGTTGTGCCACGTCCGCCCCGCAGCAAGAAACACCCAGAGAGCAAACTGGGCTGCAAATGCAAAAACCACCGGTATCTGATGGGACACCAGCCCGCTTCTTCTCACCCAATTTTTCCCCAGTACATATTAATGTTCGCTTTTACCGATGACCTCAGGTGCCCCCGAGCCCGTTCCCAGGGGCATCGGGGATGCCAAGCACCGCGGCCGAGGGCAAATGAGGTTTTGGTGGCCGGGAAATGACGCCAGTCCTCAAAGGTCACGTTATCCAGCAGGTTATTTTATCCCTCCCCTTGGTTGATGCTGCTGGGATCCAGCATTAAATTGCAACGCTCTCCAAGGGGGGGTCTCGCCCGCCCAGGACCCCCGTTTTGGAGGAAAACCAACCTTTTTGAGCACAAATCAACCCTCTCCCCTATCAGCCCGGCTGCAGCATCCCAGGGCCGGGCTCTCCCTGTGGATATCGGCACATTAAATATCAGCCCCGTGCATGGAGCCGATAGCGGTTGGGGCCAGCCCCGGTGGTACCTATCTCTAATTAGGGGCCCTTCTCCATCGCCCCCAGATAAAACTCGCCCTGACCCTTCCCGCGGTGCCCTGCGTTAAAAGAGCAAGGGAAAAAAAAAAGTTTGGGGAGCTGGTAGGTGGAGGGGGGATTTATAATGTATTTATAATAATTTATTATTAAATCATACCAATTCTTTCCAGGAGGGGAATGAAGGATAGCGGGGGATGCTGCCATTGCTGGTGGGAGGGGATGCTGCGATTGCTTGCGGGGGGTATTTATAATAATTTATAATTAAATTTATAAAGTATTTAGGCCTAATTTATCCAGGAGGGGAATAAAGGATAGTGGCGGAATGGAGGTGGTGGGTGATGCTGTGCTTGCTGATGGGGGGATGCTGCGATTGCTGATGGGAGGTATTTATAATAATCTATTATTAAATTTATAAAGTATTCAGGCTTAATTTATCCAGGAGGGGAACGAAGGATAGCGGGGGAATGGAGGTGGTGGGGAATGCTGTGATTGTTCATGGAGGGGCTGCGGGTGCTGCGATTGCTGATGGGGGGTATTATAATTATTATTAAATTTGTAAAGTATTTAGGCCTAATTTATCCAGGAGGGGAATGAAGGATAGTGGGGGAACGGAGGTGGGGGGGGGGTGCTGTGATTTCTGC